GAGAGAGAGAGAGAGACATAATGCGAGCATTAGAATTTTTACAAATATACAAATGCTACAAATTATCATGTTTACTTTTCTCTGTAGATTCTTCAATAAATCTAAAATCGATTTACATCTGTCAAAAATTCGCTCATCGCAATCTTTCCATTTTTTTTAATCTATAAAATCAAGCATCTTGGTGAGAAAATTACAAATTACAAATTAAACTTCTTTTGATCTTGGTAAAGTCTGGAAGACCATAAAATTTGAATCTTACTTTCTATCTTTCATTTATGTAAAAAATGAATAATGATGTTAATATTTCAATGCAACAATCTTTTCTATTCCTCTTGTTTCAATTTATTTTAGAGAAGGAAAGGAAATAAACATTATGCCCAAAGATTCGGAAAAAAATTAAAAAAAACATCTTGTGTATCTAAGAATATCGTCCATCATCAGTTGCATCTTTTTCCACGCTACTCAAAGTTAAAACTTGAAGTAATTTAGAATTTAACTAATCATGCAACTACATTAATAATCAGATACGCATAAATCAGTAACATATTGGTCCGTGCTGAAAGGATCGGATAATGCGCGAATAATACACTCGTTTAAATGCATACTAGTAATATTACCTCACCGTGTAGATAAGCCTTTAACGCGTTATCCTGCCTACCTGCCTAGGACCATCTAACTCCTCATTCTCCTCCCCTCTCAATTGTTAAAAAGACACTCAAATACGACACTCAGATATGATAAACAGTGGCTACAACCTATGTTCAACAATATCTCGGGATTTAAATATACTGTACTATAATTTAGTAGTTTTTTTAGGATAAAATATTAATATTGTAAATATTAATTTTGTGCAGGCACAAAATCTTTCTTTTCAATAAAAGACCGTTAATTCAGCCGCGATCGTACAAGACCTTGGAAGACTTGAATGAAAGATATAAAATGATCTATGGTATGACGCGCGGAACCGCGTGATATTGCCAATGAACGACCGTACAAAACATCGTTAAATTAACGGGATAACGCGGTTACAGTTTTTTAACTATCGTCTGACGGCGGGTTCACCAGTCATAACTAATTTGAGGTCGTGACAGCACACACGATTGACACAGACTCTCGCGTAATTGGATGCACGTATAGTTCATCCACGCCATCCACGGCTCGCCGATACCAGCTCGGCTGGTTGAACGTAAACTTAGGTCTTGTAAATACGCAATGATTCCAAATCAATGCTCTAAGCAACGACTAATTTCAAACAATAATATGAACAGAAATGTCAAACACTTGGACTGCGAAATTTGTATCTTGTTTGATAAATTTATCGAAAATCAAATGATAATTCTTATCATATATCTTTAAAAGTGTCACAAGTCAAAATAATTTTAAAAATAAAACGTAATGTTATAAAATTTCCAAGAGAACAAAACAAAAGATCGTCCAGACATTATTGTTTAACAGCATACATCGTCGTTTCAAATTGATCCATCCATTGATCCATTAATCGCAATTATGCGCAAAGAATTATGCGTATTTATGTGTAAACCGCGTAAATTTTGACGCAATGCAAAATAATAGTGGAATGCACGTTGCGTGCGTATTTTCTGAAAAGGTGGTAGCTAATAATGTGGTTAATCAATGGTCAACTGTGTACGGCCATCGCTCACGTGTCATCGCCATCGAATCGAGCTTGGCCGATGCCAATATTACGCGTAACTCAACAGAATCCATCCCCCTTCCCGTCTAATAGACATAATATTTCCCGACCGAACTGCGAACATATTTGAGTTAGATCGAATACGAGATTGAAATGTATTTGGTTTTGATCGAATACGAAGAAGTATGAAGGCTGAACCCTTACGGAATTCTTTTATCACAAAGATTATTGTTTTGTCAAAAATTGTCGAAATTTCTTGCTTGTCATTGCAATGTCACTCATTTCTTATTTCTATCGTATCCAAATGAGAGCTAATGTCAAATAAAATTGTAAGCATCACGTACGAAAGTATAAAATTACTGTTTCGGTATAGCTTGTACTACGAATATAACTCATCCGATCTCAAGGAGTTCTGGATAAAAATTTCTTTGCCAATATAAAATTATATGTTTATAAATTAACTCACTTGCGGATCTGTTTTATGACCAATAAAGATCTACGTGTATAATTGTTAGTCACGATAGTGATTGTAAATTATACGGGTTCTATCTCCATCGGAGACATACTCGCGTCTTGTATAACGCTCGATTGTATAAACTCGCAGATCTCCTTTCGCGAAGTGACTGTTGACGAGATAATTAGGAGCGAAATCGTACTCGTCAAAGCATGGAAGATTTAATCAAGGACCAATCAGGACTCGCATTAACCGTCGTATGTCAGGAACAGAGCGGTATCGTAGAGTAGCGAATCCCGGCCACCAAATTATCCGCCGCTATACCAGGATGTTCGCTGCTGTCGCTATATTGTGCTTTGAAGGTAGAAGCGGCTTTAGAGCTGGCGAGGCAGGGAGTTATGGACTGTAGTTTAATCTACTCTAGCGTCATGATCTAACCATGCCATAAGTCAGTACCTCGCATACATAATCGCTGAAACGTAATCGCAACAATTTGCGTAGTCGTAACATTACAAAAACCAACTATTTTATATTATGTGTCTTATTGTGAAAAATGTGCAACTTGATAAAAAGCTCGCTTTATATGTCGGATAAAACGTATACATAAAAATACATGAAGATATTCTATATTTATCAGTAATTTTAGGGATCGATATAATTTGATATTTATTATACTATAATTACTATATCTAAAGTGTCTCAAAATTGCACTGAAATCTTGTATTTTATCGCGGTGAAAGTTAAGTTATTGAAAGCTATCCGCTTTAATCTACGGTGAGACGCTCGCGCTTATAGACCTGTACAAAATATGCTAATATGTATATGGTAACCTCACATCGACATTGTAAGCAGATAAACGGAATAGTGCGGGTGCAATGTGTTCTAACCGTCTCTGAAAATGTGTTTACAGCATGTTAGGCGGTCGATCATGCGTCACTGATGCACAGAGGCGCCTTCGTTCTTTGACGTTCCATTATGCAAAATCGTCTTCCACGTCATACCTGATGCCAAATGCCGAACGTCGCGTGGACGATTTGACATGAATTCACGCTGATGATGCCGTAGGTACCCGCCAGACAAAATATTGACCATCAATGACGTAAACGCAAGGACAAAAATTGATAAAAAATATGCCGAATCGAACGCGGCGAATAGCGCTGAAAAAATGTTACGCAAAACATCGTAATTATATAATGTGTAATCTAAATGCTAAAGTAAACAATGACATAAATTTCAAGATTATTTCAAAAATTTTAAGGATATTGTAAGGAATTTGTCTGACACTCATAGAATTGTTTAAAATCCAATCGTTTTCCTAATTAGATTATTACTAGCGATAAAATTAAGTATTTTATAAATAGATCCGAATCTGTTTGTATTTTCTCAAATTCTCTATGATTACTTCGAAAAATAAAAATAATTCTGTCAAAGATAGATTTAAACTTAAACAAAATAAATTCAAATTCTCTATGAATACTTCGAAAAGAGTTACTTTCAAATGAACTAGAATCTATTATCTGTTATAAATCAACTATTGAATCTTTTATGAGTATTTTACCAGAAATCTTATGCTTCTTCAAATCAAAATGTTCTTATTATATTATATTATTATATTATATTTAATAACTACAAATGTTAGATTATCGCACAAATTGTGAAAATCAAATATAATAAAAATGTAATTAAAAATATAAAATAAAAGTTACTTAAAAGCTTTACACACTGCATTTTTGAAACTAATAACTTTATTTTTAAAATTGGAGTATTATTTATAAAAGGTTCAATTTTTTACGCTAATAATTATTTAAGTACATTAACAAAATACATTTCAAATATTATAAGTACTTATTTTAAAATTCGAGAAGTTAGATGAGATCGATTATTTCACAATGTATGAAAATGCAATATATGAAAAATTATTTCTTATAAATTATTTCTAAATATTAATCGAATTTTAAAAAATGAAATTTAATTATTAGATTTGGTTCGGATTTTTAAATATAATACATATTAAACTTAATCTCATCTGTAATTATTACAAAAATAGCATAAGAATATTTCTAAAAAATTAATTTTTATTAAAAGAAATTTTTAAATATTGGCAAATAATTGCCAACTTGGCTGCTCATTATAAACTGAGAAGACTTGAAAAAAAATAAAGGATAGAAATGTCAGAATAAAAAGAAAAAAGGAAAAAAATAATGATATATCCTCTTTGACCAAAAAGTAACATCAGCAAAAGAGAAAGTTAGAAGACTAAAAGAGAATCACGGAATGACGGATGGAGTGCGCAGGAAGCGACATAGGATCGGAATCTATTATTTCAGATAACACACACAACTTCTCTAAGGCTCCTTTCCCTTCTCCTATTTCCAACTACATTGACTCAATCTACGTATGTACATATGTATACATGTATGTAATATATAGGAGGGTAATTTGAAAAGTTTGTGCAAAAATGAAAACTACTTAATTTTTCGGAATAAAACCTTTTTATTTTTCAACGTAGTCTCCTTTTAGGCTTATACACTTCGTCCAACGCTGCTCCAGTTTGTTGATTCCTTCCGAATAATATGATTGGTCCAACTGTGCAAAACAGGCATTCGCAATCATCTCCTCGTTTGAATGAAATCTCCTTCCCGCTAGCCATTTCTTCATTGGGGCATAAATAATAGTCCGAGGAAGCCAAATCTGGAGAATAGGAGGGATGTGGAACGAGTTGGAACCGTAACTCTATCAATTTTGCGGTTACAATTCCGGAGGAGTGAGCTGATGCGTTGTCGTGATGGAAAAGGACTTTCTTGTGGTTCAATCGTGGACGTTTTTTTTTGCAGCTCGGTTTTCAAATGGTTCAATAACGATGAACAATATTCACTTGTAATAGTTTTACCCTTTTCCCTTATAGTCGATGAATATTATTCCTTGTTAAAAGACAGTCGCCATAATCTTTCCGAAGGAATGGTCTTCGCCTTCTTTGGTGCAGATTCCCCGCTGACAAACCATTGTTTGGACTGTTCTTTGGTCTCAGGCATGTAGTGATGTATCTATATTTCGTCCACAGTGACGCCTAAAGTCCTGTGGATTTCGCTGGAACAGCTGCAAACATTCCTTGGAACACTTCACACGATTTCGTTTTTGGTCAATTGTGAGCAATCGTGGCACCCATCTTGCAGATAACTTTTTCATCTCTTTTTCACTTAAATGTTGGTGCAAAATATTATGTACCTGTTCACTCGAGATGCCCACAGCATTAGTAAACTCACGCACTTTGATTCTTCTATCATCCATTATATCATGGATTTTATCAATGATTTCTGAAGTAGTAACCGCAACAGGGCGTCCAGAACGTTCAGCGTCACTTGTGTTCATATGGCTACTCCGAAACGTTTGAAACCATTTATAGACTGTTCTAATCGAAGGTGCAAATTCACCATAATATTTATCAAGCTTTTTTTAGTCTCTTGAGGTGATTTGCCTTTTATAAAGTAATGCTTGATCAACACACGAAATTCTCTTTCATCCATTTTTTAGAAATCACTCGACTTCCTCGATTCAGACGAACGCCACATACAGAGAAATAGATCAAGTTGGCTGAAACTTGGTGTGTTCTTCCAAGAGATGCTACTAACTGAAAATAACCTCGATACACACCAGTAGTGCTATCTTTCTGACTTTGCACGGACTTTTCAAGCCGCCCTCGTATTTGTATATGTGTACGGACGTGCACGTAAGCATGTGTGCGTGCATACATGCACGTATATGTGTACTTGTCGATTTTTGTACATACAATTCTTAGCAATCCCTGCAATAAAAAGGTACCGATTCGGAAATTTACTATGTCTATTATCATTTTGCTCGATGTCGGTTGACTGCGCAACTGATGGTATAAGTATAAATGAATCATTTTCTTATTGGACTGTATATAAATTATTTTTATTGTAAAATCCGACAATATGTTCTCGTAATCTTTATTTAAATTACTGACTTATGCTATTATAGCATTAATAGACAAAATGAAAAGACATATATCACATTTAAGTCATGATGTAAACATGTAAAATTTAAAATACATTATAATTCTCTTTGCTTATAAATAGATATTTTTAATAAAAACAAGTAGAGGTAAAATCAATTAAGATTTAATGATAAGCTAAAATAATATCTAATGTTTCAATATGTTATATTAAAACATATGCGAGCATTTGTAGAACGAAAATGACCAAAGGCATTTAGAATTTGTTAACGACTGTGAAAGAGACTACTTCTTCTCTTATTAGGAGGATATGAATAATTTATCTCGTACAAAAATATCGCAATACATAGAGAGGAAATAAAGTTGTAAATCCAAATTTTATGAACATTTTAAGCTATCGAATGGGCGAAAAGATTAGTATCGTCATATTTTATGCAGATCAATTGATGTGAGTGAACACGCGAAGCGTGAAGAGAAGATATTCAGGTCGAAATGAAAATGGATATCGCACGACATTGCCGCCACTGCTACTAAATGGGCTCTGAATGGGTACCCAACTGTTGCGCCTTCATCAGAAATTTATGCAGAATCCTGGGTTAACCGTCCTGGCCAATCAGCTTTGTAACCGAGCTAACGTCCTACCGACAAGAGTACGAGAGAGCAAGGGCAATCGTGATTTAATAAAAAGGTATTTACTATTTCACGCATATATTTCAAACAAACTCCAAAGTACTTGCTCAAGAATTCGCAATTGATTATTCTGACAAACAAATTCTAAAACAAATTCTAAAATCTATTATCAAATCGCTTTCAAAAAACTGCAAAATAACAAAAAACCATACCAAAATACAAGAAATGTATTTGCATTTAAATGTAATGCAAAGAATGAATGCTATTCACACAAATACTTAAACTTTGGATGTATTTAAATTTTGCATAAAGATTACATTTTCCAATACATACTTGTATTTTAAAACATAATGCGGATCTAATTAAAACTTACTCTCTTCTCATGAAAGCAAATGAGGAATAAAATATACTAATAAAACATTCTAAAGTTAATATCTAAGTATCAAACTTACCTACTAATGCCAAAACCACTGTTAATAAAGAGGCAGCTGGCAATGACACCGTTAAGTTGAATTCTAGCATTTGTATGAGGTCAACTGAAACAAATAAAAGAAATGCGTTTTAATGTGAATGCAAATGAACAAGATATAATATTTTCTATTTATTCCGATTGTTTTCTAGAGAAACAGGTATCAGAAATTTTTTAACTTAATATATTAGGTGTACAAAAAGTTCTGAGCTTTTTTTTGTAAAATTCAATCATTATTCAAAAACAAACAAAAAAATATTAATCAGCGAAATATTCCCCGTTTGCATCAACGACATTTTGCCATCTTTCGGGTAGCTTGCGAATTCCTTGACGATAGAAGCTCACCGGCTTCGAAGCGATAAAATCATCAATGCATTTTCGTATCTCTTCAAATCTCACGAAATGTGTATCAGCCAAAGATGCTGCAGCGACCGGAATAGGTAGTAATCGAAAGGCGTGTCTGGGCTATACGCCGCGAGCGGGAGAAGTTCCTAGCCTAACGCAAAGATATGGTCCTGAATCGCTTTCGCAACATGTGGTCGAGCATTGTCATGAAGCAAGATCACTTTACGACGTCCTTGGCCAATAAATGGCCTCTTTTCTTTTAATGCATCGCTCAAATTGGTCAATTGTTGTTGGTAGTAGTCTGCCGTGATTGTTTCACCCGGTTGTAACAACTCGTAATACAACACACCTTTCCAATCCCACCAGATACAGAGCAAAACCTTCTTGGCGTAGATATTGGGCTTTGGCGTCGATATCGAAGGTTGATTAGGGTCAACCCATTATTTTCTACGTTTAGGGTTATCATAAAGAATCCACTTTTCATCGCCTGTAATGATTTTGTGCAGAAAATCTTTTTTCCGGAACTTTGAAAGCAAAGTGAATGCAGTGTCACGCCGACGATTTTTGTTGTCTTCGGACAATTCATGCGGAACCCATCTGTCTTCCTTCTGCACCTTTCCCATCGTATGTAAACATACGGAAATGGTTTGCTGCGTAACGCCAAGCTGTTCTGCAAGCTCCTTTTCAGTTTGCGCAGAGTTTATATCCAGCAGTGCTTGCAATTCGTCCGTTTCAATCTTTTGAGGGTGTCCAGCACGCGGTTCATCTTCAAGACTGAATCTCCTTGACGAAATTTTCGATACCATTTTTACATGTAGTATGACTTACAGCGTTCTCTCCATATGCAACACAAATCATTGCAGTGGCTTCAGCAGCATTTTTCTTCAGATGAAATGCGAAGTGGATGGAAAATCGAATATGCTCTTTTGTTATTCCATCGTGAACACTACTGATTTTTGAGGTTATGTGCAAAAATGCCAAACCGTATGGCATTTTAGAAGGCCAAATGTCAACGCTTTAAAACCGCAAAAGGGCGGGAAGATATATAAAATTTAAATTGTTATTTCGGTTGTATGAAATCTAAAGCTCAGAACTTTTTTGTACACCTAATATATAAAATGTTTAAAAGATAAAACCTCATTATATATACTGGTTAACACAATTAACGCATAGGTAAAATTATATCAAAATTTAGCACAACTTTAAATAAGCAGAACTCTGCAAAAAATTATCGCACTTAAAAGTTTTTTTTCTGCATTTTTAAGGATAAAGATATACCTTTACTTGAAAAAATATTAGTTGTTATTTGAATTTATCGTTCTCTCATCCCACCTTTTAAAAAGTAAGGACATGTTTTGTCTTCCTACAATTGCATAAGTTGACGTATTGTACGGAACAGAATGAATATTTTCGCAAATATTATGATAATCATCATAAAGTATGGACTCTTCCTTACAATAAACAAAAAAAAAGAAAAAAAAGAAAAGAAAGAAAGAAAGAAAATTCGTAAGATTTCTTTTACGGAGTTACAACGAGTCAAAGTTACATTTTTTTCTTACAATCAATTACCGTCAGCACTAACATTACTCGACGCGCCTGGGGAGAATGCTGACCGGATTTTGCGCATTGTGCGTGCATGCGTGCAAAGTTATAAGATTTGAATATGACATACAATTTGATATAGAATATAAAATATCTCGTAAGCGGTTTTTTAGTTACTACATATATATCAAGAGACAGGGGTGGTGTCTCGACACCAAGTTCACGCGCAGCGAAGTTTGCGTAGAACGGCGGCAAGACGCCTGTGGCTCTCTTTATGTGAGATCCCTTGGATGAACTCGGTCTACGTTTTCATATCTTAGCAACGACTGCATCGATTCAGTTCTAACTACGCTTAATCAATAGCTGAGTATCAAATTATATGAGAAAAGTGCTTTTATCTTTTTTTTTCGTGTTCTACAAACTAAGATATTGCGACGCAAAGTTCAAATTGGTAAATTTTAAGAAACATTTTGGTCGTCGCCATCTTTCTTTTTTCCACTTTCTTTTTTCTGTCGCAAGAGGCGCTAATCAACGCTTCTGTATGACAGCGCTCATTTTTTTGATATGTCTTTGACAGATGTCCTTTGTGTGAAGTTGTATGTATTGATTAATAAAAAAGAAAATATGACGTGTCACATATAGTGTCATAATAGTAAGTAATACTGTAATCAGGAGACACGGTAGTGTCTCAGGTGTTAAGTTAACCAAGAACACCGTGTGACTTTACGCGAGTCGGCGAGATGCGAGCATCCGAAATTACTGGATCTCAATAACGGCTAAATCGATCAAGTTCTAAGGAGGCTTGATTGATAGCTTAAGTTCGACTTGCATAATAAAAGTAGTTTTATTTTTCAGCTACGTGTCTTACAAGCAGAGATATTGCTATGCAAAGTTCGATTTGGAAATTTTTACTTTAAAAAACGTCGTCGTTTTTGTACAGCTGCAACGTCACGAGATGTCATTATTAATCTTATCGACCCAGCGGGGAGTTCATTTTATTATTTTTATAATTATACTTGGTGATCTTAATTTTATAAAAAGAGGATAAGAAGAGAGGACATGTACCACGACGGAACCGACCACGAATCAGTCGTAAAAATCCGCAACTATTTTGCGAAAAATATCATCTCAGCCAAAAATCGAACTTGGATCTCCTATTTACCAGGCAGGCATCTTATCCTTTTGATTACAGAGGCATGTAATAATATTTATCGCAAATAACGTGTTTAAAATAACACGTCACAATTCAATGATAC